CTCTAGCTAGTTATGCCTATCACCTTTCACCAGGATTTCCTGCTAGCTAACATTTATATTTGTAGAAGTCTCGACAGACCTCTCTAGATTACACTTCTTACTGTTAAGGATAGGAAGCAGCCAGTCATCAAAGCCGGTATCTCTCTAGAACTTCCAAGCACTTCCCTGACCTCAAAGAAGAATGGCACCTCTGCCAACTCCTAGGTTCTGCAGAGAGCCTCCCTGGCCCATCAGCTGTGCTAGGAAATGGGGAGCTCATGGGGCCTGTACAGAGGGGCAAGGCCCTGAGGCAGCACGGGGGCACAGCCCCTCCCCACCCCAATTCTTGCCCCCACCCTACATCCAAAACTCTGAAGTCTGTTTTTTTTAATGCCCAAAGGATGACACACATATTCCCTAGCCCCTCCAGGCTTAGAGACCACTCAGGGAAGGAACCCTGATTGGAAAGAGCTACTTCTTGGGGCCTTGCCAAGTATTCAAGAACAGCACAGTATGCATATGTGGGCAGCTGGTACCCACCCTACACCGTTGGGAAAGGGTAGGCTGCACCTGGCCTGTTCAGAGGAAGTCCTGCCTGAACATAGCCCATCAGGAGCCAAGACATTAGGAAGGAAAAATGCCTAATGCTGCAGCTAGTGGATGGTACCTTGCACATTCCCCCCGAACTATGGCCCCCTGCCCCCCCCCCCCACTGCCACATTTCTGCTGGAGACTCAGGGAGAGAGGAGTGTTCTGAGCCTAAGTGGGCATCAACACCTTGGAGACAGGACCAGTGTCTACAGCAGAACCCAGCCAATACTTTAGAATCCACGCTGAGGGACACAGTGACCACTTAGTGCAGCACACATTTAACAGCCAGATGAAAATTATATTGATCTCTCTGGTCTCCAATCATACCACCACATCACAAAATGCTTGCCTTCCACCTTAGTACCCTAAGGCCCCAGGCCCCATCCCGGAGCATGCCCTGGGACCAGCTTATCTTCCAAGCCTGGCTGGTATGCACCTCAACATGGTGTTTATAGAACTTCACAGCTAGAAGGACCCAGAAAGACCTGAAGCCTGACCCAGATCCAGAGAGCTCTAGGATACACTGCCAGACCTCTCAGTGCCCCCCCCCCCACAGCTTCCTACCCAGCCCCGCTCCCTGACCATTTGGTCGCTCAGTCCCTTATTCACACAGACTCTCTACGTGACTGAAGTGCAGTGCTGCTTAAACCAAGATCAACATGGACCAATCAGCTTCTCTTGGTTTCAGTTCTGGAATGACGTGAGGAGCCAGCCCAGGAAAGTGAAGTGGTCATCACAGGGTGCATAAAGGTTGCTGGTCAAAGTAAAGGCCCAAGCCAGCAGTCAGCAGCACTCTGTTCAGGGATGAGGGAGCCTCTTCCCAAGAAGACAGAGACACTGAAGGGGTCTGTCTCTGGGAAGCCCAACCTGTAAGCTACATGTGGAACGTGGCACAGGGCTTTGCAGCAAAGGCTATGCCGTGGCAAAGGGTCTGGGGTGCGTAGCTGCCCTCAGCCACGGTTCACTCACCAATAACCAGCAGCACAAGGATGACAATGAGGACTACAAAGAAGGTGTTGCCGTAAGTCACTACCAACTCCACCAGGCGGGACTTGAAAATCTTCTGCCATCTGTGAAAACAAAAGGGTTGAAGAAATAAACATCCACTTGGGCCCCAGGGCCCCGAGAACAGAAAGCCACTCTTGCACCGTTTTCCAGTGGCTGAATATCCTGAACAGACTCAGCCTCGACTGCCTGCAGTTCTCCAATTTATGACATCTATTCAAGAGCGCGTGGGGGGGGGGGGGGGAGATGCTTGTCCACGTGCAGAAATTTCTTAAAAAAAAAAAAGCCACACTCTTAAAAACACTAAGAGTCTCTGGGGAGGGAAACAAAAACATTCCTTTTAATTATTATTCAAGGATAATTAACACACAGCATACTACTAGTTTCAGGAGCAGGGAAATGGAAAACTTTTCATTGCATTCCTCTACGTAATGTTCAAAATGCTTGCCACGTACACATTATTTCTTCAAACGGTTTCTCCACATGACCCATGTGGGTTCATCTAGACCTCCACCACCCTGGATTATTAAGAAGCAGACCCAAGACTTCCCTTCATCTCCTTCCATAAATACTTCAGGATGTAACTCTGTCAATAAAGAGCCTTTATGCAATCACAATGCTATCACCAGACCTCAAGAAAATGAACAAGAATCCCTCATCATCAGAGCCAGAGTCCCAAAGTCCAATTGTTGCAATTTTTTTTTTAACACTTGGTTTGTTTAAATCTGAACTGACAAGGTTCTGACTGTGCATTTAGTTGATAAGTAGCTTCAATCGCTCCTCACCCTCTTCTGTCTTCTTTCCCAATCCACTTTTTGCAGAAACCAGGCTGTCGGTCTTACAAAGCTGTCCAGATTACAGCTCCAAAATGCCTCTGTCTCTACATTTCCTCTGAACTGTGTAAAGTGTGAAGAGATTCAGATCTGGCTTTTGCCAAGAGTACTTCTTAGACAATATCATGTTCTTCCTATTTTATTGTATCAGAGATCTATATTTTTGTCTAAAAAGTTTTTTAAAATACCTATGAAGATTTAGCCTTATTTATAATTTTCTAATTAAAATCAGAATATATTCATATATTATGTGTAATTAAAAATTAACTTCCAATTAACTTTGACAGATCCTCTCTTCATTAAAAGGACTATGGCTTCACCTCTCACAGGCTGAGTAATGCTCACGAGGCTACTATGCAATGCCGGTGGGACTGGTTGGGAGGACAGACGTCACCAAGTCAGCTACAACATGACCCCATGGTGCAAGTCTTCCAGGCGCCATATTGCCATCCCCTGAACCCTAGGCACCCAAGGGAAGGCGGAGGGCAGCATTCCCAGAAACGTAACTAGAGATAGGTCTTCTCCCTCTTGGAGCATGGTGAAGGCCAGACGGCAGCGTGCACAGGAAAGGAATTCAAGAAGATGTGACGAAGCAAAACTGTGTGGAAGGTTGGCAATAATAAACACAACCCCTGCCACCTCAACCCCAGACAGGTTCTACCTGTTTCCATCTGGCCCCAATTCCAGGGTCTTACCAACCCTGCATGGAGAAGCTATGGGGCTCAGCAACAATCACCCTTTTGCTTGCCTGCTTGCTCCACAGGCCATACCTTTTGGGAGAAATGAAGGGAATGCAGAGAAGCAGCACAGCAAAGACCTCTGCATAGAGGAAGGTGGCGACTGCAGTCCACTGCAGACTCATCGTGTTGCTAGAAGGTTTCCAACAGTGAGATGTGCGCTTGTTTCCTGACAGGACACAAAAGGGACAGAAGCTGTTGTGAGAGCTGGGCAGCCACTCTTTACCCTCTACCACAGCACTCTACTCCAGTCTTTTTAAGCCACTGGCTGAAACTGGGCTCAGCTCGGCAGGGATACTCGGCCAACAGTGCTCAAAGGCCTAACAAACTCCCGTTTGCCAGGACGCAGTTACTTGCTGCCTTCCAGTATGTGCCTTAAAAGCCACCTTTCTGGCGAATTCCTTTTCCGACTGAGTTCAGCAAACTCCTTATGCCCGCTTAACTGGGAAAGTGTTAATAAAGATTATATAGACGGGGGCGCCTGGGTGGCTCAGTCGGTTAAGCGACTGCCTTCGGCTCGGGTCATGATCCTGGAGTCCCGGGATCGAGTCCCGCATCAGGCTCCCTGCTCGGCGGGGGGGTCTGCTTCGTCCTCTGACCCTCCTCCCTCTCATGCTCTCTCTCATTCTCTCTCTCGCAAATAAATAAAATCTTTAAAAAAAATTATATAGACGGGAGAAAATTCTCGACATCCATCAGGCTCACTCCCTTCCCAGTCAGCCCCGGGGCGGCAGTATTTCAGTAACGCACTTTCTCCGAGAGCGGCGACGCCCCCACACCCCCCTCCGAAGGAAACCAGGAGGCCCTTCCCTCACGAGCCTTTCCAATCAAGCCGAGAGAAAACCTGCAGCCTCCCTCCGGGGCGAGAGCACGGGCTAAAAAAAAGCCTCCCGACGCCGCCGCGTCGGCCTCGGATGCGGTGGGAGAACTCGGGAGTACCTCCGAAAGCCCACAAGAGCGACTCCTACCGGGCGGGAGTCGGGGCCAAGAGCAAATGCGGGTCTCGAGTAAGCACCTCAAGGCCCCATCTAGAGAAAGCTCTAGAAAAACGGTCTTTTCAGAAGCCGGAGGAGCCCCTCCCGACAGCCCTGGTCGCCCACAGCCGCCCACCCGGCTCGAGTCCCCCGCGCTCCACCCGCGCGGCCCCTCGACATGGCCCTAGGCCGCCACGCCTTCCCCCGAGCCCCACCCTGGCCGCCCCTCCCGAGGGGCTTTGCCACCGCCCCTCGCCCCGCGGCCGGCCCTCACGCCCCCGGAGCCCAACTCCAGCCACCGCCCCGCCCAGCCCTGCCCCCGTACTCCCGGCACGGCCCGAGGCCCCGGGCCCTCTCCACACTAACCGCCGCTGCCCCCCGTCGAAAGCCCGGACGACCTGGGTGGCCCCACAGCCCAGCTAGGCGCGCAAGCACGCTCACCGAGCTTCCCACAGCCAACGCACACGCCCCGCTGCCGCCGCCACCACCAAACGCTCCCACCGCAACCCTGGCCCCGCCCCTTCCCCCACGGCCGGAAACCGGAAGCACCCACCCCACCCCGCTCCCAGCCGCACCCAGGCCCCGACGACTCCGCCCACGGCCGTTTTCGCCCCGCCCCCGAGCCGAGGCTCCAAAGCCCAGGACTGGAGGAGAAGAGGCGCCTGGGGCGCGCCGATGTGAGGGGCGGGGCCTTGGCGGGAAAGCCAGGGCCCGCTTCTCTGGCCCGCGCGGTCCTCCCACGTCTCAGTGGTTGGGGGAAGGGGCGGGGCCCAGTCGTGGGGCGAGAATGGGGTGGGGCTCGCCGCGCCCGGGCTCCGCCTCCCGCCCCTCCTCCGCCTCCTCCCTTTCCCCCCCGACTTGCCCCTGGGGAGGGGTGGGTGGTGGAGTCACTGTCGGCTTCAGCCAGGCTGCGGAGCGGACGGACGCGCCTGGTGCCCCGGGGAGGGGCGCCACCAGGAGAGGAGGAGGAGGCGGAGGAGGAGGTGGAGAGGAAGAGACGCCCTCTCTGCTGACATCCCCCCTCCCCCCCGAGGCTCTGACCCCAGGGGCTAGGGGCCTGACAAGTTTCTCCACCCGGGCTGCCTGAAGAGGCCGCTACCCTGGAGGGCCCCGAGCCCACCGCACCAGGGGCCCCAGCACCGGCCCGGTGGCCTAACGCGACAGTCCCAGGGACCACTGCGAGGTTTCCAGTTGCCTAGACAAGGAGCCGGGGGTCAGAGCAACAACCCTTCCAGCCACCTGCCTCGACTTCTGCCTCAGGCACCAGTCCCAGCCCTGTGCATCCAACCCAGGTGACATGCCGGTACTCTCCACCTCCCGGTCCTCGCGGGTGACCACGCTGAAGCGCACAGCTCTGGTCCTGGCCCTCACGGCCTATGGAGCCCACAAAATCTACCCTTTGGTGCGGCAATACCTGGCTGCAACCAGGGGCCCTCAGGTACCAGCAGGGGAGTCCACGCAGGAGGTCTCTGGCGCCACAGCGGCCAAGGCCGGCGTGAACCGGGTGTTCTTGCAGCGGCTCTTGGGCCTCCTGCGGCTGCTCTTCCCCAGGACTCTGTGCCGGGAGACGGGGCTGCTGGCACTGCACTCGGCATCCCTGGTGAGCCGGACTTTCCTGTCCGTGTATGTGGCCCGCCTGGACGGCCGGCTGGCCCGCTGCATCGTGCGCAAGGACCCACAGGCCTTCGGCTGGCAGCTCCTGCAGTGGCTCCTCATCGCTCTCCCTGCCACCTTCATCAACAGCGCCATCCGGTACCTAGAGGGCCAGCTGGCCCTGTCTTTCCGCAGCCGTCTAGTGGCCCACGCCTACAGGCTTTACTTCTCCCAGCAGACCTACTACAGAGTCAGCAACATGGACGGGCGGCTTCGCAACCCTGACCAGTCCCTGACGGAGGACGTGGTGGCCTTTGCAGCCTCTGTGGCCCACCTCTACTCCAACCTCACCAAGCCGCTCCTGGATGTTGCTGTGACCGCCTACACCCTGCTTCGAGCAGCCCGTTCCCGGGGGGCCGGCACAGCCTGGCCCTCGGCCATTGCTGGCCTCGTTGTGTTCCTCACAGCCAACGTGCTGCGAGCCTTCTCACCCAAGTTTGGCGAGCTGGTGGCAGAGGAGGCACGGAGGAAGGGAGAGCTGCGCTACATGCACTCTCGAGTGGTGGCCAACTCAGAGGAGATCGCCTTCTATGGGGGCCACGAGGTGGGGCAGGTCGGGGTACTGGGCACAGAAGAAAGCTTGTGGCTGGGAGGCCAGGGGGCAGGGCAGCCATGGACAGCGTGGAAAGTCCAGGTCTGGCTGGGGCTAATGCCAGAGGTGTGGGGAGGTCACAGAAGACGAAGACTGGGGACGGCAGGGCCTGGGGCAGCCCAGACGTAGGCTCAGAAAGGGAGAAGCAGGAAGGCTGGGTGGGGACTGCCCTGGGCCGGCTGCCGGCTTGCTCCAGGCCACTTCTGTTTCCTCTCCTCCTCCATGTGGTTGGCCTGGCCCTGGAGTTGTGGATCCTAGCGGTTTCAGATGCTGGAGCTCCTTGCCTGCTCCACTCCTACAGCCAGCCAGGAGGAGGCTCCTGCCATCTGGGAGCAGGGACAGTGGGACGCGCGGCCTCCTGCTGCCTGGCCCCTCGTGCCCCCCCCCCGGGCCCTTTGAAGGCCAGCATCTGGCCAAGCTGGTGGGCCAGGCAGGCTGGCATTATGGGCATGACTCAGCCCAAGCGGGGGTTAACGAGCAGCACCCAGCGCCGCGGCCACAGCGGTGGCAGCGCTAGGTACTCGGGGTCAAAGCCTCCCCCACCTGAGCCCGCAGGCCAGCCTGGCTACCTGCTCGGCTGCCTCCCCAGGCCCCGGGCCGGGGCTGCCTGGCCCAGGCCGCCAGCGCGGCGGGACGCACTTCCTGCCCGCCCAGCAGCCACCCTGCCCCCCACCCCCCGCGTGGCCGCCCTTCCGCCTGGGTCGCCGGCGCGCAGCTCCCCAGCAGGCCAGGCCTGCCGGGAGCCTGGTGCTGGGAAAGGTTACTCCGGGCCACTGTTCCCTTTATCTCGCCTCAGCCCCGCCCCTTCCTCCGGCCTGGGGCTGCAGCTGCCTCGGGCCCTGCTCTCTGCTTTCCGAGGGCTTCTCAAGGGAGGGGCACGGTGGCACCCGCCTCCTGAAGGCCTGTGTGTCCTGTCTTTGTCAGGTGGCCTCTTGTCCCCGGACCTTGCCTCATTGGCTGCACAGTGGGCAGAGGCCGTGATGTTTTTACAAAAAGGCTTGGCCCTAAACTCGGCAGAGGGGGCATCCCGGGTGTAGGCCGGGCTCCGGATTAGGAGAAAATGCCTGGTCTGCAGCCACAACCCATCTCCTCTCCCACATGCCGGACTGCAGGGCCTTGGCAGGCAGCCACCGCCTTGGGTGAGGCGCTTGGCACGTTATCCGCAGCTCCGTTGTCAGCCCCGGCGGGCACTCCTGCCAGCTCCCAGCACGAGCCTGGATTGCCAGGGTGCTCAGAGGAGGCGTGCTCACTTCAGGAACCAGGATTGGACTAAATGCAAAGGCAGTCCATGCGCCAGACCAGGATGGTGGGGGCAGGAGGGCCCTGGTGTATGTCCGCAGCCTGTCTCTTTTGACCTCGGCTAAAGGGCTGGAAAGTGGTGTGGGGTGATGGGTCCTCGTGGGGACGGGGGGGTTGATTGCCTTTACTGTGCAGGCGTGTGGCTCGCCCCAGTTCCGCCAGCTGATGTCCCTATGGACACTGACCCAGGCTCCATTCAACAGGTTAGGGCAGAGGTGGCTGGCTGGCTGGAGGGCAGACGTCACGGTGTTCTGTTCTCATTGAGATCTCAGGGAGGAGGCTGATTTAGATTTCATTCGCGTGTGGGCGCGCACACATACATGCAAACTCTTGCTGGCTTGAGAGCAAGGTAAACCTTTCTTAGTAGGTCAAAGCGTCATTTATGAGAATCTGGTTCTCTCCTAATGGCTCTGCCAGGATGGCCCAAATTGCACACCTCTTGCTACCTCCAAGCGGTGTGAGCTTGGGCAGGTCCCTTTGCCTCTTGGGCTTTGGCGTCCCCAGTACAGTGGACATGAGAGTACACATACTGTTGCATGGGATGAGAGTCAAGTGGAGAGTCAGGTGTGAAAGTACTGGACAAAGGAGATGGTGCCAGGTTGGGCAGCTGTGCTCAGCTGGCAGTGGGAGGCAGGCCTGGGGCACACCCCCCTGTAATGAGCCAAGAAACCCACAACCTAATGGCCACCCTGCCATGACCCGGTTCCTGCCACCTCTGTGTCGGCAGCCTGAAGTTGCGGGTGGTGTGGCCAGTGCGGGCATGGGGAGGGAAGGGCAGGGCTGGCTTGGGAGCCTGCCCTCCAGGTTTCTGTGGGAGAATGCAGTGTAGGGTCCTCATCCAGGGGGACCCTGGGCAGGTTGGGGAGGCGGGGCCAAAGTAGAGACTCTGGAACTGAGTTCCTCTAAACCAAGTACTGCCTTTTGCTTTCCTGTGCTGCCCTTTGCTTAGTTCAGGCCAGCAGCCCCCAGCAATTGCCCAAAGATGTCCCGAAGCGGTGCAGGGCAAAGAGAGGGGCATGGTAAGTGTCCCAACTAGAGAGGTAGTGGAAAGAAGGGATGGGAATGGGCCTCAGAAGGTGGGGGTGACGAGTCCCTTCTTCGTTACGACTGTCCCCTGGTACTATGACATCAGGTGGTCCCAAAGCTTGAAAACTGGCCCCTGTAAATATGGCCCAGTCGTAACCCCCAGCCCTTGACCTTGTCCTGGCCATCAAATTTCATAGCATGTATGCGTGGTGCTTGGAGACTCTTGTGGCCCCTGTGGTAGTTACCATGAGGCCTTTTGGTCTCTCTTTGTCACCCCCACCCCCGCAGGTGGAGTTAGCCCTGCTGCAGCACTCCTACCAGGACCTGGCTTCGCAGATTAACCTTATCCTGCTGGAACGCCTGTGGTACATCATGCTGGAGCAGTTCCTCATGAAGTATGTGTGGAGCGCCTCGGGCCTGCTCATGGTGGCCGTGCCCATAATCACTGCCCCCGGCTATTCGGAGTCAGGTGAGAGCCACGGCTGCCAAAGGGGCGGGGGCAGGGACCCTCTCCTGTCCTCCTGGATCACTACGTGCTAGGCTTGGGAGGCCCTGCGGCTTGGCTGACCTACCTGCGCCTTCTGCTAGGGCCTTGAGGCCCAGCCGGTATCCTGAGCTCAGCAAAAGTCACACTCTCCTGGAGCTCCTGGTTGCCCTCTGCTTGGCGTGTGTCTTCCCTTGACAGCATTTCACACTCCTCGGTACCACTCAGCTGAGCTGGGTGAGTGAGCTGGGGACTGGGAATCAGGAAGCCCTTATGTCCCTTCCTCAGACGCACGCACCCTTGCCCACCTGGTCCTGTCCTTGGCTCACTGCGACCCGGGAGTGGGAGGATAGGGAAGTAGCTTCAGCTCCTTCATCGCCTGGGCCTTGGCTTTCCTGTGCCTAAAACAACTCTAGTAGGTTGCAGCGGGTATAGACCTTGGCCCTAAGGCCTAGGGTGGGGGTGAAGGGAGACAAGCTTGTCACTTGAGCTAGTGCGTCATCAGGATTCCCATTTTGTCCTTTAGAACATTCTAAGTCAGGGCCCAGCCACACTGATGTTTGCTGGAGCTCAGCATCAAGTTTGCTTTCCTGTTGTTCTGATGCCTGGCTATTGCTTTATTGGGTCAATGTGGGTTTAAATTCACCCCTTTGGTTACCGATTTCTGTGCTCACCGGTCCTTTTCCACAGCCCAGTTTCCTTCTTCCAGATAGATATCTTCTAGAAGTTCTTTCTGCAAGGCTTTCGTCATGGGAACTTTGAGATTATCTTGTTGTGTGAAACATCTTTATTTTACTCTTTTCCCAGACTAAAGTTTAGTTGGGTGTGGGAGTCAAGGCGGACAGTTACTTTCTCCCAGCCCCTTGACAATATCCCATTGTCTTTGTTGGACAATCTGTTATCAGCTTCAGTGCCTCTGGCAGCCTGCATTGTCTCTCTGGTTACTTTTAGACTTTCTTCTCTGGCATCCTGCAGTTTCCCTATGAAGTGTTTACCTGTAGGTGTCTGTTTGTCCTGCTTGAGATTTGTTGTATGGCCTTCATATATTCAGATTTTTCCATCATTCCGGAAATTTCTCAGCTATTATCTTTTCAAATATTGCCTTGGTCTTGTCCTTTTACTCTTTTCTTCTCATTCTTTCCTTTGCGACTCTTCACCACTTGGCTGTCTCCCACCTAGCACCGTGCTGAATTAGGGGCACTGTCTGCAGATCTTTTATGCTCACTGGTCCATCCGTTTTCTCTTCAGCAGCATCTGATTTGAATTTTTTTTCTTTTTTTTTAAAGATTTTATTTATTTATTTGACAGAGAGGGACACAGCAAGAGAGGGAACACAAGCAGGGGAGTGGCAGAGGGAGAAGCAGGCTTCCCGCCGAGCAGGGAGCCCGATGCGGGGCTCGATCCCAGGATCCTGGGATCATGACCTGAGCCGAAGGCAGACGCTTAACGACCGAGCCACCCAGGCACCCTTTGAATTTTTTTTTTCAATTTCAGTGACTATTTCTATAAGTTCTATTTGCTTCTCTTTCACACAAAAATGTGAAAACAGACATTTTTCTTTTCAAATAGGAATTTTAAACTGTTTTCGTAAGTGTCTGCTTCTCTCCTCTTTTGGACTGCTCCTTTTTATGCTCCATGGTCTGTATCCAACGATTTGATTATCAGAATTCTTGGGGATCTAGGCCAGCCTTATCTTCCATCTGCTGCTCTTCACTCATGGTGGATTGTTTCCCTGTGGGTTTTGCAACCAGACTTCCGTGGGAGCCCTGAGTGGCCTAACCCGAGGGGTCATTCCCCAGCACGGTGTGTATTTGCTTGTGCTTGGGCCACGCATGCCTGCCCAGGCAATTAATCACTTGAAGGCCATTTTACCTTAGCTTCTCAGCTTGGAGAAGAGGGCTTCCTGAACTTGGAGACGGTATTAATTTTAACTCCGGACACATAATTACAGATTCTTAGAGGAGACCTTTTCTTTAGTGCACCTAGAGCCCCAGCTGGCTCAGTTGGTGGAGCGTGCGACTCTTGATCTCCAGGCCGTGAGTTGGAGCTCCAATGTTGGGTGTAAAGCTTACTTAAAAAAAACGAAATCTATTTTAAAAATTAAAAAAATTAAAGGTGTTATATTTTATGCAATTTGGTAGTAAAAGGGTTTTATTTTTTTTTTAAGATTTTATTTATTTTTTTGAGAGAGAGAGAGAGAGCACGCACACACAAGCAGGGGGAGCAGCAGGTAGAGGGAGAAACAGGCTCCCCACTGAGCAAGGAGCCCGACGCGGGGCTCGATCCTAGGACCCTGGGATCATGACCTGAGCCCAAGGCAGATGCTCAACTGACTGAGCCACCCAGGCGTCCAGTAAGAGGGTTTTCAATTGCATGTAAAGAGAGAGAGCCTGACTTGTTTCAGAGCCGAAGTCTCTGATTCTCTCTCTCTTTGTGTCTCTACCTTGGGTTTTCTGTACCCTCAACTGTCCTTCTCTGGGTAACCCCCAAGGGGAAGGATCTAAATGGAGGGGGATTATTACTTTCCACCGCAAAGGCCTTACATAAAGGGTGGCCTTGATTTAGGCCCAGGTGCCAGACCCAGTCAGCACCCCTGGCCTGGAACGTGGGAATCCACCCACGAGGAAACCGACCTGTGGTTTTTATGAGGAAGCGCCTGCAGCTACTTTCCTCTATAGCTGGCCTTGGGGCCCATCTAGTCCCCAAGGCCTCTCCCTCCTCTGAAAGCCTAGGACTTTCTGGAGACTCTGCTACACCAGACTTTGTGGGCAATTCCAAGAAGATGAGCTCTTGTCCCTGGCCTCATGGCCCTTTATAGTTAGTTACCTGTGAAAATGTGAAACACTCACTCTTCTGTCTTGCTGGCCTCCTCTCTATTCCCCGGAAGCAGTGCTTCTGCCCCCTGGCCCTCGCAAGCGCCACTAGCTCTTCCAGGAACCCTCTTTCCTCTGCCGAGACCACCGCCCCCACCATCCTCTTCCCCTTCCCCGCCGCGCTGCTCTCCCAACGCCACACACCCTGTCTGCTCTACTTCTCTATTTCGTTTATTGTCACTCTGCCACTTTAGGCTGTGCATGCTCCATGGAGGCAGGGATTTTTGTCTGTTTTGTCCTTGCTGTGTCCCTAGTACCCGGGGACTACTGAGGGCTCTGGGTGCTTCGAGGAGGCTGAAAGCCCTGGGGACCTATAGGAGGAGGCAGACACTTACCAGTGGGGGAAAATTTCGATACCTTTGCCCTTCTAGCCTGCTGGAGCTGCAAGGCTGGAGGGCCCAGAGGGAGAATGGCCTTGCCCTGAACAGCTTGCCTGGCATCCTGCCCCTGGGCCCTGGTCTTAGCTGCCTTAGCCTCTGAGGGAAACTACAGAGGGCAGTCAGTTCTGTCTCCAGGGAGGTACCAGCTGTTGCCAGGGTGCCCCCAGCAACTACAAACCCTTTCCCTTAGTGTGTAGTCCCTCTCTGGCTTTTAGGACATCTGGGGAGGACAGCTTATGTCCCCCCTGCATGTTGGAGGCTATGTCAATGGGGGGCACAGTGGGAAGGCAGGCCCAGGACCATAAACTGTCAGGATTAACCCCCTCCCCACCCCGTCCTATTCCCTGGATTCCTGGTTCAGGCCCAAGAAAAGGCAATGCAAGGCAGTCAGGCCATCCATCCCATGCCTTTTCCACCCGGTACTGCCCGGGAGGCCATCTGCCCTGAGCTGGCTTCCTGCCCCTTGCCACCCCACCCCTGCCATCATGTCCCTGAGGCTTCCACCTTGAATTGACATATGCCCCTGGGTAGAGTCCTTGGGCCCTTCACAGGACTTTTCTTCCTACCACTTTGGCCCCAGGAGCCTCAGCTTCCCCTGGATACTCCAGTGGGCACTGCTCACTCTCCCACATCTCAGGACCCTCAGAGTCAGCTGCCCCCTTGCTCCCCATCACCATTTCCAGCACATTCCTTGTGTGAAAGCCCTGCCTTCCCGGGAGCTCTAAGGGTCAGGGGAGTCAAAACCACTGACAGAAGAGATTGAAGTAAGCAGCCACAGGGTCTAGACTGAAACAGAAAAGCAAGTCGAGACAGAAACAGGCTCCCAGGGAGAAAGAGAGGCATCAAGGATGACCGTTCTCAGAGAGGCCCCAGAATACAGTGTCGAGGGGTGAGCTAAGGGAGAAATGGGGGTAACAGTGGAGGTCCAAAAGGGACATTTGTGTTAGAAAGACTCGGGGGTACAACAGCTCTGGGGGTTGGATGATGAGGTGCAGGTGTGCCCCGAGAGGGGCTGCCGTCATTAGTATAAGACAGAGGGAGGACAGTTTAGGGGAAAGGAGCTGGTTCTGCCCAAAAAGAAAGCCAAATGCCTAATGGCTCAATTTCTTATCCAGATTATTGAGATGTAATTAACATGCCATACAATTCGGCCTTTTAAAGTGTGTAATTAAGTGGTTCTTTTTTTTAAAAAGATTTTATTTATTTATTTGAGAGAGAGAGACACAGCGAGAGAGGGAACACAAGCAGGGGGAGTGGGAGAGGGAGAAGCAGGCTTCCCGCGGAGCAGGGAACCCGATGCGGGGCTCGATCCCAGAACCCTGGGATCATGACCTGAACCGAAGGCAGACGCTTAATGACTGAGCCACCCAGGCGCCCCTAATTAAGTGGTTCTTAATATATTGATGAAATTGTGCAACCATCACCACTAAGTCCAAAACATCATCATCACCCCAGAAAGAAACCCTAGACTCATTAGCAGTCACTCCCTCCCCAGCACTCCCCGGCCCCCAACACCGACTCATCTTTCTGTTGCTATGGATCGTTGGCCTCTCATGGACATTTCACATGAATGGAATCACACAATCTGTGGCCTTTGGTGTCGGCCTTCTCTCACTCAGCATCACGTTTTCAAGGTTCATCCACACTGTAGGGTGAATCGGCACTTCACTGCCTTTTACGGCCAAATAATATTGCACTATATACACGTATCACAGTGTCTTTATGCATCTGTCTGTTGATGGACATTTGGGTCATTTGCACCTTTTGATGATTACGAATAGTTCTGCTGTGATCACCTGTGTACAAGTTTTCATGTGAACGTGTATTTTTTGTTTCTCGTGGATGCATACCCGGGAGTGGAATTGCTAGGGCCTGTGGTAACTCTTTGTCGAACTTTTTGCGAACTGGCCGACCGGTTTCCACATGGGCTGCGCCATTTTACAGCCCCACCAGCCATCCTAGTGGGTGTGAAGTAGTATCTCATTGTGGTTTTGATTTATGTTTCTCTGATGACTAATAATGTTGAGCGTCTTTTCATGTGCTTATTGGCCATTTGGAGATCTAGGAAATACAGTAGAATTGTCTATTCAGATCCTTTGCCCATGGTTTCATTGGGTTTTCTTTGTTGCTGAATGGGAAAAGTTTTTTTACATATTCTGGATACGAAACCCTTATCGGATATGTGATTTGCAGATGTTTTCTCCCAGTCTGTAGGTTGCCTTTTCGCTTTTTGGATGGTTCCTTTGGATGCCCGAAAAGTTTGAATTTTGATGAAGCTCATTTATCTGGTTTGCTTCTGTTGCCTGTGCCATACATAATCCGAGCTCACAAAGACGTACAGCTGCTTTCTCCCAAGAGTTTTATAGTCTTAGCTCTTCCATGAGTTAGTTTTTGCAGGTGGTGTGAGGTAGGGGTCATTCTTTTGCAAGTGGACACCCGGTAGTCCCAGCACCATCTGCCGGAGAGATTCGCCTTTCCCCTAGTGAGTCCATTTTGATTTTCCACGGTCCCCTCCTTCCCACTGTGTTGCGTAGACTTGGAGGCAGTGAAGAAGGCAGCTTTGGAGATGAAGGAGGAGGAGCTCGTGAGCGAGCGCACAGAGGCCTTCACCATTGCCCGCAACCTCCTCACAGCTGCTGCGGATGCCATCGAGCGGATCATGTCATCCTACAAGGAGGTACCCCCCACCCAGCACCGCTCCCCCCGCCATGCCTCCACCCCTCCCCCAGCTGGTAGCGTCTGAGCCAGGGTCACCCTCCCCGCAGGTGACAGAGCTGGCCGGCTACACAGCCCGAGTATACGAGATGTTCCAGGTATTCGAAGATGTCCAGCACTGCCATTTCAAGAGGCCCGGGGAGCCGGAGGACCCTCAGGCAGGGCCCGGGGCTGTGGCCAGGTCTGGTGTCCATGTAGAGGGGCCCCTGCAGATCCGAGGTAAGGGCACCCTCCCCCCAGGCGCCCCCCCCCCCAGAAGGCTGGGTCTTTGAGCTGTGCCCCTGCAACCTTCTTTCCCAGAGCAGTAGCTGCCAGCCAAGCCCCTCACTTGCCCGTGCCTTCCCAGGGCTCTGGCCAAGATTTCTCTTATTTCTCTTTGCAAAAGAAGGAGATGCAGTCCCTGAGTAGAGGGGATCACTCTCCCATGTGGGCAGCAAGAGAAAGTTCAAGACCACAGCAGGGGCCGGTGTCAGAGGGTTTTACAGCGTAAGGGTGGACTCCATGCCTCAGGTTCCAGAAGCCAGAGAATTGACATGGCCCCTCCCCTGCCCAGAGCACAGCACCAGACACGGAAGACCCACCATATTCCCAAGGGGCCCCAGACCACACACTGGCGTGCTATTGCGGGGGGGGGCGGGGGGTGGGCACGTGGAATCCACCAGAAGGCAGAGGGCGTGTTGCTGCTCCCTGTATTCCCTCATTGCATTCTCTCTCCAGGCCAAGTGGTAGATGTGGAACAGGGAATTATTTGTGAGAACATCCCCATCATCACGCCCACGGGAGAGGTGGTGGTGGCCAGTCTCAATATCAGGGTAGGTCAAGTATGGGACTGGGGGGGGGGTTGCCTGACCCAGGAGTGTTGGCTGAGCTGGGCTGAGCTACAGGACCCTGGGCTTGGCCTTCTGCATCTGCAAGCCCCAACCTTTGGTGTCTGGCCTACTGGGCCTGCACACGTTGTCATTCCCCAGATCCACTTGGCAGGTGGGCTAAGGTCCAGGTGAAACGCGAACATGTCTCTGATTGTTGGTTCTGTCACAGTGCAGTCATAAAATGACTAGCGATTACCAAGAGTAGCGAAGGGTCATCCAAGGGCTCCTGGCCCTGGCCCCATCGTTGCCACCTCCCACCCCCATCCCTGAGAAGCCCAGGACTTGGGGACTCAGGTTCAACTCCGACTATGGTGGAATAGATTCCTCCAGTGACCCGGGCTTAGGGTCCCACCCATCTGCTTCAAGAAGCCCCCAGTGTAGGTGTGTGCTGGGAACAGCCTGGCCCACTGGGAGGGCTCTCAGCCACTACAGAGGCTGTCTGTGGGAAGGAAGCCCTGGTGGCCAACCCCCACCAGTCACCTGTGTCCCTAGCCAGAGCTTTGGGCAGGGTCAGGCAATGATGGAATGAAGGAGACCTGTGGTGGCAGGGTCAGTGTAAGAAGCGAGAGGGAGTCATTCATTCATCCCTGGGCTGGGCACTGGGAACCAGAGGTAAGCTGGAGGGGCACTGCCCTCAGGAAGCCCTATGCCGGGTCCCCTAAACATTGCAAAGGTCCCCAGTTAGCTGCCCAGGATCCTATGGGGGCCACAGGAAGGGTGGTCCCGTCCCTGAGGCGAGTAGAGGTCACCGGAAGCTTCACCCAGGAACCTCAGGGTGGATGGGCAGCATGAGGAAGAAGGCGTCCCCCAGCAGGCAGGCAGAGGAAAGGTAGTGAAGTGGCAGGAGCATGGGGCTGGGGGACCTTGGGGCCTTGTGCGCCTGGCTGCAGAGCTGGGTCCGTTGGCGCCATGGCTGGGCGGGGAGTTACTGGGAAGAGGCAAGTGGAGGCTCCTTTCCTCGATCCACTGAGAGGGGTCCTGAGAGCCAGCGGGAGGCCGGGCACATTTCGTTACCCAGGCAACGTGGGACAGTGCTGTGATCCCCATCGCCCCTGGCCGCGGCCACTCTTGGGGTGTGGCAGGGAGCCACCAATGGCTGGTTCATCCAAGGCGAACGATTTCCCTGCAGGCCCAGTGGCAGCCAAGTAGGCAAAGACCAGGGGCCCTGGCTCACCAGGGCGCAACTGGTGAGGGAGCAAGGCCGGGTGAGGACGGGTGACTGGGACAGAAGAGCTGGGGTGGGAGGCGAGGCGGAAGCCAGCCTCTGGGGCTGGGAGATGTGGGGGAAGGCAGGGGAGCAGTTCCCAGTCATGATCTGCCAGGCGGTGGGGCAAGAAGGTTGGCGGAAGAGGGAGAGGCACAGGGAAGGGGACCAGGGAGGCTGGCTGACTGGGGGAGAGCCAGGCCTGACACACTGGCCCCTGTACATCAATCATGGAAGAGGGAGGCCCATCCCCCCCACCCCCCGCGAGGGCATTTACAGTGTAACAGGACCACACAGTGAGGGGCTCAAACAGCAGGAGTGGCTTCTCTCCCCGTTTTGGAGGCCAGAAGGCCAAATTGGGGTGCTGCGGGAGAGTCTGCTTCAGGCCCCCTCCGAGTTTGGGTGCTTTACTGGCCATCAGTGGTGTTTCTGGGCTTGCGGAAGCCTCACGTCAATCTCTGCCCTCCTCCTCACATGGCCTTCTCCCTGTGTGCATGTCTCTGTGTCCAAATGACTCCTTTTGATAAGGACACCAGTCACGTTGGATTAGGGGCCCACCCACTCCAGGAACACCTCATCTAAATTTTTTTTTTAATAGAATCTTTTTTTTTTTAAAGATTTTGATTTATTTATTTGAGCGAGAGAGAGCACAAGCAGGGGGAGGGGCAGGCAGAGGGGGAAGCAGGCCTCCCGCTGAGCAGGGAGCCCGACGCGGGGCTCAATCCTGGGACCCCGGGATCATGACCCGAGCCGAAGGCAGAGGCTCAACCGCCGGAGCCACCCGGGTGCCCCGGACCTCATCGAAATTTAGCTAATTACATTGGCAAAGTCTCTTTTTCCGAATAAGGTCACACTCTGAGGTCTTGGGGGCACCGCTCAATCCTGCGAGAGCGGAACTCACCATGGCGATGGGGGAGGGGGCTGTGCCCCGGGTGCCCTGCCGTCTGACCCCCTCCTTCTTGCACACTCCCCCCCAAGCTCAGCTGGCCTTTTTCTTCCAGCAGGCATTTCCATAAGACCAGCGGGCACCATGTAATCGGCTAACTGGGGAGCCTGAGGCCCTTGACGCTGAGCCCAGGGGTCACAGAGGCATCTGCCCAGCGCCCTAGTACCTGTGGGGACAGAGAGAGGCCCACGAGGGCAGGAGGATTGGCCAGGCATTAGGAACAGACAGAGTTGGGGGTTTGTACTGTCCACCTAGAACTCGAAAGAAAGCACCTTTCCCGGGACCGTTCCTCAAGGGAGAGCAAGTCTGCTGGGGAAGCGAAGACACTGGGAGTCCTAGTGACGTGGGACGGCAGGGGAGAGAGGGTGACATTGGCCTTCTGGGGCCTTCCTCATGCTGGCCCCATGCTCTCTGGTGCATGTCAGGGGCTTAGGGGCCAGGCCAGGACCCAAAACAGGTGTTTGGTTGGGGCTCCGGATGCCAGACGTCATTCCTCAGGCCCCGCTGTCCCTTACCAAGAGACTGAGAGTGGCCCACCTCCCGGCCTGGGTGCGGACCCGAGCGTGGGCCACCGCTGGGAGGAGGGAGGTCCATGCAGGCCCCCTCTGCCGGCTACCAGCGCTGCCTCCACAGGTGGAAGAGGGCATGCACCTGCTCATCACCGGCCCCAACGGTTGTGGCAAGAGTTCTCTCTTCCGGATCCTTGGCGGCCTCTGGCCCACGTACGGTGGCGTGCTCTACAAGCCCCCGCCGCAGCGCATGTTCTACATCCCTCAGAGGTGAGGGGGCGGGGACGGAGCCTGGCCCCTGCCCCTTCCCACCCCGGAGATGGCAGGGCTTGGGGCATCAGGGGAGCACAGCGTCCGAGGGGCGACGGGGCCTCCCCCTGCCGTCCGGCCGTGGCCGTGTGATGCGTGTACGGTGTGGGGCTGTGCATGCAGGGCGGCTGGTGGGGGGGTCTGCGGGCTTCGAGTCGGCCCTGCCCCCCGGCGGCCGGGGCCCATGACAGAGCCTGCTCAGGCGCAGGGCTTCGGCAGGGAGGTAGGGCCAGGCCCGCCCTTGCTGACGTGCGGCATTCCGGCAGGCCCTACATGTCCGTGGGCTCCTTGCGGGACCAGGTGATCTACCCAGACTCCGTGGACGACATGCGAAGGAAAGGCTATTCGGAGCGGCACCTGGAAGCCATTCTGGACATCGTGCACCTGAACCACATCTTGCAGCGGGAAGGAGGTAGGGGAGGACGCGGCCAGGGAGGGAGCCCTAGATTGGTTGCCCTTGTCCCAAGATTCCGCTGGGGAATCTGCTGTCACCCTCGCCCCTGCCTCCCTCTTGGCCCCCGAGGGGTGAAGATGACCCTGACATCCAGGAGTCCAAAGTGCTAGGTGCCCAAGAAAGCCCCACCCATCAGGGCAGCCCTGAGCTCCCTAGGCCAGGGAGGCCAGGCACAGCAGGAGGTGTCCAGCAGGAGGCGCTCATTTTGGCCCTGGACACCCTCTCCAGGCTCTGGGGCTCAGTGGCAGGGAGGGCCCTGTGGGCCCGGGCTTGCCCTGACAGTGAAGGAAGCCTTTGGAAGACCTTAGGCAGGGAAGTGACAGGTTGGTGTCACATTTGAGCAAGAGGACAGACCCTGGGCATGAGCAGGGCAGCTGGGGAGAAGGTGAGCCCAGGGTGTGTGTGCAGCGAGCCTCTAGCATGGGAGGCAGGACAGAGCCAGAGGGGACGCTTGGGTTTCTGGCTTGAGCCTGGGAGGTGCCATCCCCTGGAAAGGAGCCTGCAGGACTGGAGGGACAGGCTGGTAGCAAGAGAAGGCATTGGTCAGGGGCTTACCAGGTTTGTCTGCAAATGCCTGCTGTGCCCAGAGAGGGGGAGGAGGGGAGGGCAGCCCAGCTGCAGGGTGGGGGGAAACCAAGGTGGGGCTGGACTCAATTTTCTTAGTGAAATCCGAAAAGCAGGTTTAACTTCCTGCCTCCATCACTTGGGGGGAGCTTGACCAGCCACCCTGGGCCCGGGAGTGCACCCCTCCTCCTATCTTCCAGGAGTGCCCTGGGCCCCCGGGGCCTACCATCACAACCTATCAGCATTGAGTTCAGCTGGGAGTAACAGAACCCCGTCCCCACAACAGTGGCTTAACATCATTCACAAGTTTATCTTACTGTGACATAAAAGTCCTGAGGAAAGCAGGCCACAGTTGACGGAGGCAGCCCAGCTCTGTGAAGGCCCCTCAGGTCACTCAGCTCTGTGGGCCCTCCATTCCTGAAGTCATCTCATGATCCAAGATGGCTGCTCCGGCTATCACATCACATCCCAGGCCATGGGACAGAGAAAGGGGAAAGGGGGGGAAGAACCAAGGGTACCTGTCATCTGTCTTTTAAAGAAAGTTCCAAAAGCTGACACATGTGTAACACACTTACACCCTATTGGCCGGAATTCAGTTCCATGGTCACACCTCACCTCAAGGCAAGCTACGGAGCAGAGTCTTTTTTGTGGGTGGCCCTATGCCTTGACACAACTTCTAGTCCCATGGGAAGACGGAGCGGAGGTAGGACGTAAGGATTCGTTTCTGCTCGGACTTGCTGCGGGTGAGAAGCCCTCTGGAGAGACCCCAGCAGCCATCCCCGGGGCTCTGCCACGACTGCCTGCTGCCTAGGGATGGAAGCACCGGCTGGCTGTTCGTTAGCATTCTCTTAGGTCCTGCGGGCATCTGCTGGGGCTGCTGCAACACGGTACCAGGGCGGCTCAGCCAGCCGAACCGTCTCGTGTCCCCGTTCTGGAGGCCCGAAGCGCAAGAGCCGGGAGCGGGCAGGGTCGGTCCCTTGCGGGAGGGGAGGAGCCGTTCCAGGCCTGCGTCCTCGGCCTGTGGGCGGCAGTCCTCTCTCTGTGTCTGCCCGAGGCCTTCCCTCTGTGCGTGTCTGTTTCCAGTTCTCCCCTTTCATGAGGACGCAGTCCTGCTGGATTGGGGCCCGCCCTCGTGACCTCGTGGTAACTGTCCCCTCTGTAAAGCCCGTGTCTCCAAATAAGGTCACGTGCCGAGGTCCTCGGGCTCCGGATGCCCACATATCGTTTTTTTTTGGAGGGGACACAATTCTGTTCACAAGTCTTTTTTGACTATTAAAGTATCACCTCCAGATAGATAAGCATCCAGGGCACATGGACCCAGGGGCCAGCCTTCTCCAAAGTCACATATGCCCCCGTATCCCACTCTCACCAGTCTCTTCAGCCCCTCCCACTGCCCTTGGGTCTGGGTCCTGCACAGGGAAGCCCCTTGTCCCTTGCCTAGGTTGGGAGGCCGTGTGTGACTGGAAGGATGTGCTGTCGGGGGGTGAGAAGCAGAGAATCGGCATGGCCCGAATGTTCTACCACAGGTGAGCCGGGTGTTCCCCAGGGGGCTGAGTGGGACAGCCAGGGGCCCTGTGGCCATTAGGAGGCCTCACCCCGGCCTGGGCCCAGCCAGCAGTGGCCACAAGAAGCACAATCAGTACGCAGGTCAGGGTTCCCACAGGGCGGGGGGGGGAGGGGACAGGCCAAGGCTTCTGTGAAGGAGGGTCCACAGCCTAGCGCATTTGCCCCCTCCCCCGCCCCAGGCCCAAGTACGCCCTCCTGGATGAGTGCACCAGCGCCGTGAGCATCGACGTGGAAGGCAAGATCTTCCAGGCGGCCAAGGACGCTGGCATTGCCCTGCTTTCCATCACCCACCGGCCCTCCCTGTGGTAGGTGCCCCCCCTCCTTGCCTGCTTGGTGGCTGGGGAGGAGGAGGCCAGGCAAGTGTCTCCTGCTCAACGGCCTCCGCTCCTCTCCCGGCCTAGGAAGTACCACACGCACTTGCTGCAGTTTGACGGGGAGGGTGGCTGGAAGTTCGAGAAGCTAGACCCCGCCGCTCGCCTGAGCCTGACCGAGGAGAAGCAGCGGCTCGAGCAGCAGCTAGCGGGCATCCCCAAGATGCAGCGGCGCCTCCAGGAGCTCTGCCAGATCCTGGGCCAAGGCTCTGGGCTCCTCCAGGGTGCTGCTCCGCCCTGAGCCCTGGGCCCACATGGAGGAAACCACAGCAGTTGCCCACCGCCCCGCACCTGGCCCTGCCGCAGGCCTGCCCTGCATGCCTTTCCCTCCCAGGCCTCCTGGCCGCAGGCCTGCCCTGCCTAGAGGACTGCCAGCAAAACCACGTGCCTGTCCCTGGGCGGCGCAGATGGGACTTTCTTCTCTTCCAGGAGGGGGAAGGGTGGAGGGGAGCCCCCAGCTCACAGCGCCAGCCAGTCTGTGCGGAGCCTTGCATGGGGCGGGGGGCCTGCCCTCCTGACGCTGCAGTCCCCCTTATGCCCTCCTCTTCAGTCCCTTGGAGACCCCACGGGCCATCCGTGGCTACGGCCCAAATGGCCCACTGAGGCTCCCACCCCACAGGACACCCTTCCTGCCATAGAAACAGCCAGACAGAACCCACAGCCAGACAGAACCCACAGCCAGACGGGGCCCCTCACGTGCGCCCCTTCTCCCTGCCACGGGAGGAAGGATTGCACAGCACTCGCGAGCGATGGTGAGAATGGAGCCCCTGCCCCTAGCCTCCTTTCCTTCTCCAAGCTAATTTATTGGATTCCTGTTTGGGGCCATCTCGATTGCCAACACGAGCACCCAGCCAGCAGCGGAGGCGGCCGGGGCCGCCGTCCTCCCACAGATGGCCTGGCCCTTGAGCCAGCCCCCGGCAGCCTGTCGCCCCACCAGCCTACACTGCCAGCCACCTCCGTGGGGTGGGGGTGGGGGGTACAGGCCACTGAAGGGGGAACCGGGTGCTGGGGCTGCCGGGCATGAGGGCACCTGTGCGCCCAGCTCAGTGCCAAAGAGGGGTCAGCCAGGGGAGCTGTATCTGCAAAGCCAGGCCCCACCCGAGAGGGAGACCCCACCACAGCCACCGCATGTGCCTTTCCAGATCCTCAGCCACCTGGCCGGGGAGCATCCCTCAATCCCTCAGTAAAAGCCTCCCGCAGAAAGTGCCGTCCTGCCTCCTGGCCTCTTTGTCTGGCAGGGCTGGGGAGGAGCTCGGGAGGGGCATCAGGTCACCTGGGGTGGAAGGAGTAACCTCAACCCCCGCCCCCACCCAAAGACAGCTCAGCATATTCTCCAGTGGGGAGATAGATTTAGCAACTTCTCACAAAAATATTGGCAACTGGGACTCTGGACCAATCCTGGGCCCAGTGCTGGGGTGGAGAGGAGGGGGCTGCTGCCCAGTCCCCACATGAGGAACATCCCGAGAGACACTGGGGGAGAAGCAGCGAGCTGCAAAGTGGGCTGGGTGGCGGGCACAGAGGAGGAGGAGTCCTGACCCTGTGGGGCAGAGGGGAGCGGGGAAGATGTAGTTCTGGACCTTCTAGGAAGAGGGAATGCTGGAAGGGAATTCCCTTCTAGGAAGAGGGAAAGCCCAGAGGTGAATCAGGAGCAAGGCGCAGGACATCAGTGTGGTGCGGAAGGCAGAGGAAGGGAGGTGCTGGGGCCATGCCACGGAGCCTGGACTGACTTCGGAGGCAACGAAAAGCCACCAAAGGGTGTTTGGCAGGATGGAGACAAGATGCAGTTATGCCCACGGTGGGCGATATGGAGGCTTTGGAGGGAGGCAAGAGCGCACAGCTCGGTCCTTGTCCACTGCTGGTGGGAAGGGGAATGGAGCAGCCATTGTGGAAAGCTAAGCACGGACCCAGCACTTCACTCCTAGGCTTAAACCCAAGAGAACTGAAAATAGGTGTTCAATCAAAAACTTAGATGTGAATGTTCGTAACAGGGCTGTTGGTGATAATCAAAAAGTGAAAACAACCCAGCAGTCCACCAACATGAATGGATAAACCAAATGTGGTCTCTCTATGCAATGGAATGCTATTCGGCTAAAAAAAGGAGTGTGGTTCTGACCTCTGCTACAGTGTGGATGAACTGTAAGAACGTGACACTGAGTGAAAGAAGCCAGACATGGAAGACCACATACCGTGTGATTTCATTGGTAGGAAACATCCAGAATAGGCAAATCTATAGAGACACAAAGCAGATGAGTTGTTGCCAGGGGCTGGGTTTCCTTTTGGGGCAATGTTCTGGAACTGTAGAGGTGAGGGTTACACAACACTGTGGCTGTAATAAATGTCACCTCAGGGCGCCTGGGTGGCTCAGTCGGTTGAGCGACTGCCTTCGGCTCAGGTCATGATCCTGGAGTCCCGGGATCGAGTCCCGCATCGGGCTCCCTGCTCGGCAGGGAGTCTGCTTCTCCCTCTGACCCTCCTCCCTCTCATGCTCTCTATCTCTCATTCTCTCTGTCTCAAATAAATAAATAAAATCTTTAAAAAAAAATGTCACCTCAAAAAATAGATCTATAGATAATAGATGACAGGTACATTGAGTGATTGATGATAGCTAGATGATACATGATAGATAATAGAGAGATGATACATAGAGAGAGATGATAGGTGATAGAGGCGTAGATGAGTGAGTAACCATTTAAAGCAGCCCAGGCAAGATGTGCTGAGGCTTGAAATCCCGGGCGTATTAGAGAGAGACTAGAAGAAAGTCGGGGTGGGGGGGTCAGACTTGGGGTAGTGGAGAGAGGTAGTCAAGGTGACCCTTGGGCTCTGTCTTAGGTGGCCAGGTGGGCAATGGCACCCTTAGCTGGAGGAGGAACAGGTGGTGGTTGAAGATACAAGGAGACAACCTGGAGAGGAGGTGCCTGGCGTTTCATCTGGGGGATGGGAAATAGCCTACATTTTACTTGAATTTGGGGGTTAAGATTTATTCTTGATCCCAGGAGAGGTGGCAAATTCAGAGGGGGCTAGGAGCTGTTCCTCCTTTTCTTCCCAAGATTGTTGAAGTTGTCCCTACCTGATAATAAATCCTTTTTCTTTTTAAGTTACATAGTTAGAATGTTTCTGTGGTCTTCCACCAAACCGTAATTGATACAGATGGAAAGACATAGCCGGCAAATACTGTCCACAAGGAAGTTAGTGGAGAGAAATTAACATCGGACAAAGTAGACCTCAGGGCACAAATCATTATTAGGAATAAAAGAGGTCACTGCATAATGATTAAATAAATAATTCATTTGAAAGCATTAACCATTAACATATGTGCACCTGCCTAATGGTAGAACCTGAAATGTATATCAAACGAAAAAGTAGCCGTAAAAAGAAAAATTAATTAGTACACTTGCCACAATAAATTACACTGCGTCTCACTGCACATGGTAGCTCAAGAAGACAAAGCTTGTAAGACTACAAGAAAAATTGAACTAGCTTGATTAATAAAACTCACCATGTCCTTGGCCACAAAACAAATTTCAACAAATACTAAAAGAATTGGTATTGTACAAATCACGTTCTCAAACTGTGATAGAATAAAATCCTAAGTCAATGATAAAACTAGAGGTGCCTGGGTGGCTCAGTCGGTTGAGCATCTGCCTTCGGCTTAGGTCGTGATCCCGGGGTCCTGCTTCTCCCTCTGTCTGACGCTTGCCTGCTTGTGTGCGCTCTCTCTTTCTCTCTCTGTCAAATAAATAAATAATCTAAAAAAAATAAGAAAATTATTCTCCTTGACTCTTGTCCAAGGAAAAAGATAATCATATTTTTTAAAAAATGATAAAACTAAAATTAAGTCCTCTCATATGTTTGGAAATTTTAATGTACAAATGTAAATTTTAAAATACACTTCCAAATAACTGACCGGTGCAAGAAGAATTATAATGAAAATCTAACAACAGAGCTGAACAACAAAGAAAACACTACATATGAAAATGAATAGGGGCGCCTGGATGGCTCGGTCAGTGAAGCATCTGCCTTTTGCTCAGGTCATGATCCCAGGGTCCGGGGATCAAGCCCCTTGTCGGGCTTCCTGCTCGGCAGGGAGTCTGCTTCTCCCTCTCCCTCTGCCCCTCCCCCCCCACTCGTGCTTGCCCCCCTCTCACTCTTCTCTCTCTGTCTCAAATAAATCTTTATTTTTTTTTAAAGATTTTATTTATTTGACAGAGAGAGACACAGCGAGAGAGGGAACACAAGCAGGGGGAATGGGAGAGGGAGAAGCAGGCTTCCCGCCGAGCAGGGAGCCCGATGCGGGGCTCGATCCCAGGACCCTGGGATCATGACCTGAGCCGAAAGCAGACGCCAAACCACTGAGCCACCCAGGCGCCCCTTGAATAAATAAAATCTTTAAAAAAAAAAAACATATAGGATGTTGCTCAAGCAGTGCTTCGGAGGAAATGTATAGCCTTAAAAAGAATAAGATGAGCACCAACTCAGGAAGCTAGAAAAACCACAGCAGAATAAACCCAGAGAAAGTAGAAAAAAGGAAATCACAAAGACAGCAGAAATTAATGAAATGGAAAAAAGAAAGATCAATAAAGCCAAAAGTTTGTTCTCTGAAATTAGCAAAATAAACCAGTCTGGTGAGAATGAAAGGAGAGAATGTATAACTAGACAATCCTAGGAAGGAAAAGAGGGATAAAGCGACAGATAACAACAGCTGTGTAGTACTTGCTTCTAAAAACACCATGAAAATGACAGGAAGGGGATGACAAGTGCAGAAAGGAGTAAGTTCACCACAGAAAAGGAGAGGAGTGAGTGCCTACCGAGAATGTTTTAGAAGCTGGAAAACAGGTGGAAGAGGCAGCCAGGGGCAGGGGCTGGAAGCACCAGATACCGCAGAAGAGAATATGTATGTCTGGTGATAGGGGGCAGACAGGAGGATTGATTGGAAATCTATATAAGAAGCTGCTAGATATCTCACACACACACACACACACACACACACACACACACACACACAGAAGCTTCTAAATATTCACATCTTTGCCCCACCTCTTGCCGAAGACCCTGCATTTCCACAGCCCGAGTGGCGCAGTCGGTTAAGCATCCGACTCTTGGTTCCGGCTCGGGTTGTGATCTCAGGGTCCTGGGATCGAGCCCCCCGTCAGGCTCCACGCTCAGTGCACGGTCTGCTTAAGCGGCTCCCTCTCCCTCTGCCCTTCCTCTTTGTCTCTCTCTACATGTAATAAAGAAATCTTTAAAAAAAAGAAGGTCTGTGGAAATGCAAATCAAGGTCATGGTGAAATATCCTTTTATTCCCACTGATTGGCAGAAATGAAAGAGTGACAATCCCGAGTATTGGCAGTGACATGGAGTAGCAGGAATCCATACACTGCGGGGGAGGGGGGCGGTGTTCTGGAAACTGACATAACCACTTTGGAAGAGAATTTGGCATTATCTAATAGAGTCGAAGATGTACGTGTTTATGACCTAAGAGTGTCACTCCTGGGCACATCCTAGAGAAGGTCTTTTACAAATAAACCAGATCACACGTACAAATCGTTCACAGCAGCATTGTTTACAATACACCAAGGCTAGAAACAAGCCATCTTCTCTGTATCATTCCAATTGTAGTACATGGGCTGCCGAAGTGAGCACTCCACAAAAGGAGTGGATCAAGTACGGCTGTATGCATCAACTTGGATTATGTCACAAACGTAATGTGGAATTAAAGCAACAAGTTAGAGGGGCGCCTGGGTGGCTCAGTCGTTAAGCGTCTGCCTTCGGCTCAGGTCATGATCCCAGGGTCCTGGGATCAAGCCCCGCATTGGGCTCCCCGATCCGCGGGAAGCCTGCTTCTCCCTCTCCCACTCCCCCTGCTTGTGTCCCCTCTCTCACTGTCTCTCTCTCTGTGTCAGATAAATAAATAAAAAATCTTTAAAAAAAATAAAAAATAAATAAAGCAACAAGTTAGAGAAACATACACCCGGTTACGATTCTATTCATATAAAGTTCAAAAGATGCAAAACTAATGTTGTTTAGGGATAATGCATATTTGGGAAAAGTATAAAGAAAAACAAGGAAAGGGTACTGGTGGCCTCTGTTGCGGGGGAGGACGGGACACGGGGGCCCCAGAGGCTTTGGAGTGCAGTCATCCAGCTGACGGCGGGGACACAGGTGTAGTGCTTTATCATCATTCTCTAGACAATTCGCAGAACTGCTGCGTGCTCTTGTGTGTGCATGTGGTTGAGAACCTGCCATTTTTATAGGTCAAAATAGCTGACTATTAAGCAGTTTCATCTGACTTTTGACCTACCAAATTTCGTAATAATAGAATAAAACCAAAAGACTTTATGCTAATAAATGTAAACTGTGATGAAATGGGCATGCTCCTAAGAAAATATTGTTTATCAAAAACTAACTCAAAGGACGCCTGGGTGGCTCAGTCTGTTGAGCATCTGCCTTCAGCTCAGGTCATGATCCCGGGGTCCTGAGATCGAGTCCCACTTCGGGCTCCCTGCTCAGCGGGGAGCCTGCTTCTCCTTCTGCCTGCCGCTCCCCCTGCTTGTGATCTCTCTCTGACAAATAAATAAAATCTTCAAAAAAAATTAACTCAAAATAGAAAAACTCATCCAAAAATTCATGTGGAATCTCAAGGGACACCAAATAGCCAAAAAAATTCTGAAAAGGAAGCACAAAGTTGGAGGAGTCACACTTCCGGATTTCAAAACCTGATGCAAAGCTACAGGAACCCAGACAGTGTGGTAGTGGCATGAAGACAGACAAACAGGCCTGTAGAACAGAGTAGAGGCCCAGGCATAAATCTTGACGTATGTGATCAAATGACCCTTGACAAGGGTGCCACAACCATTCAATGGGGGAAAAGACAGTCTCTGCAACAAATGGTGCTGGGAAAACTGGACAGCCACATGCAGAAGAATGAAACTGGACCGCTATCTTACATCATATACAAAAAGCAACTCAACACCATTTACAGGCCTAAACATAAGACCTAAAACTGTAAAACTCCTAGAAGAAAACATAGGGGGCAAAGCATCATGACATTGGATTTGGCAATGACTTTTTGGAAATGACACCAAAAGCACAGGCAAAAACAGCAAAGAGTAGACAAATGGAACTACACCAAACTGAGAAACTTTAGTGCATCCAAGGACTGTGCAATCAACAGAGTGCAAGGCCCCCCATGGAATGGGAGAAAATATCTGCAAATCATACATCTGAGAAGGGCTTACTATCTGGAATACATAAAGAACTCCTACAACTCAACAACAAAAAAATCAAAGTCTCCAATTAAAAACTGGGCAAAGCAGGGGCACCTGGGTGGCTCAGTCGTTAAGCGTCTGCCTTAGGCTCAGGTCATGGTCCCGGGGTCCTGGGATCGAGCCCCGCATCGGGCTCCCTGCTCTGCGGGGAGCCTGCTTCTCCCTCTGCCGCTCTCTCTCTCTCTCTGTCTCTGTCTCTCATGAATAAATAAATAAAATCTTTAAAATAAAATAAAATAAAATAAATAAAATAAAAAATGGGCAAGGGTGCCTGGGTGGCTCGGTCGTTAAGTGTCTGCCTTCAGCTCAGGTCATGATCCCAGGGTCCTGGGATCGAGCCCCGCATCAGGCTCCCTGCTCTGCAGGGAGCCTGCTTCTCCCTCTGCCTCTGCCACTCCCCCTGCTTGTGCTCCCTCTCTCTGACAAATAAAAAAAATCTTTTTTTTTTTTAAAAAAGAGTCTCTTATGGTTTGTCTCCCTCTTTGAT